TACAAAATCAGCTGGGGTTCAAATCATATTTTCCCTGACTGAAAGTTAGAGTAGGACCCTTCATAAGTGACAACACTCCTTCAGAGTAGGACTGGTTTTGTCCTGAGTTACTTTAGATTCCTAGGAGTGATTCTAAGACTCTTGATAAACATCGGAGCTGTATTGTCACTACAAGCTCCTAACGCATCCTTATCATGATCATTAAATCCAAAAATGTTTGTGTTGGAAATTAGCATTTAAATACCCAATGTTTTTGTTCCTAAGATATTCAAATTCCATAATGATTTTGTTAAATAGTAAGTGGTAACCCCTGTGTTTTTTTTTTTTTTTTTTTTTAAAGGCTGAGACATGTTACTCTTTACCATCTCTAATTTGCTCTCCTCTGGTTACTCACTCGTCCTCTTCCTTCTTTCCATCTTTCATGTGTAAAGGTTAAGTTATTCCATTGTTAGTCTACATGACTGTGTGTGTGTTTGGGTGGGTGTGTGTTCACTGATGGGTTTAATTGTGCCTTGGTCACAATATATAACAGGAGAAATTTCTCATTATAGTTGTGTAATTGTGTTACAACAATCTGCATTCAAGTTATGATTATAGTTGTGTAATTGTGTTACAACAAGCTGCATTCAAGTTATGATTATCATAATGAAAAACAATTTGATCTGAGGCATTTCAAGGCATTTTGTCTCTATAGTTGTTTGTTTCATGTCTATTTTACTCTTTGCCTTCCTGTCCACTCATGCTTTTTTGTCTACTTGTCTACCCAACCCCCAAAATTCCTGTCGTCCCATGAATGCAGGGAGAAAAGGACTGGGAGAAATATGAGCTTGCTCGAAAATTAAAATCCTGCGTGGACGACATCCGTAATCAGTACCTCTGTGATCTCAAATCTAGAGAGATGGTCAAGCGCCAGAGAGCTGTGGCCCTCTACTTCATAGACAAGGTCTTGTTCTGAGTCATTGCTCAAGTAAAAACTGAAGTAAAGATGAAGCAGTTTTGAAGTTATGTTTACACAGCAGTGCTAGAAATAAAGTGCTGTCAGTATGAGATTCTCCTTTGTGTGCTGCTCTCACCAAAAGCCATGTGAACATGGTAATCGGTGTAATTTAGTCTTGATTGCTTTTCCTTAAATAGCTAGAGATCTTTACAAGGAGAAAAATGGATATACATTATGTAGCCATTTTCTTCCACTAATCCAAGCTAAATGATAGGCTGTGTTTCTGATTTGGCTTTACGTTTTATTATGCAGTTCTTAACTTTGTGTGTATGTGTCTACATTTAATAGTGATCTGATTGACTCAGTGCTTTCCTCTATGAATTGGAGGGACGGTGGCAAAAGTGTTTTGTGTGTATGTTTGGATTTGTGTTTATCTTTCCTCTAACCTATTAAGCTGGCACTGAGAGCTGGTAATGAGAAGGAGGAGGGAGAGACAGCTGATACAGTGGGTTGCTGCTCGCTACGTGTCGAGCACATCACCCTGCATGAGCATCTTGAAGGCAGTGAGTGTGTGGTGGAGTTCGACTTCCTGGGTAAAGACTCCATTCGCTACTACAACAAGGTCCCTGTCATCAGTAAGGTAAAGGAACAAAAGGTGTACAATGGGGAACAACTACTCCACATCCAGGTCCATCCGCTAGCTTTATAATCTTTAGGCTGTTTGGGCATAAAAGCTGTATTTTGGAAATAACATATTCATGCTAATGACTTAATGTGGTTCATACAATGCAGATATGTCCTTTCTCAGTAGGAGAAAACATCAGCAAAATACACCGATTTCAGAGCTGGTCATTACAATACAAAACCAGCATATTTCATTATAATCTAGGTTTTGCCCTTTGGGTTTTGGCATCAGTAAGGTACAGGAACAACAGGTGTACAATGGGGAACAACTACTCCACATCCAGGTCCATCCACTTGCTTTATAATCTTTAGGTTGTTTGGGCATAAAAGCTGTATTTTGGAAATGACATATTCATGCTAATTCATGTGGTTCATACAATGCAGATTTGTCCTTTCTCAGTAGGAGAAAACATCAGCAAAATACACCGATTTCAGAGCTGGTCATTACAATACAAAACCAGCATATTTCATTATAATCTAGGTTTTGCCCTTTGGGTTTTGGCAAAGTCCCTGCAGAGAAGGTCATGTATGCAAATTGACGTGCACGGAGCCTGAAGCAGAGAAGGAATTGAGAAATGTCCTTGGGCCACAGTTGAAGATTGGATTCCTGTGGCTGCAGTGGTTTAATTTGTCTGGCTGTTAGAATTTTTTAAGTGTCCCTCTACTTCTCTTGGACTATGACTTCATGGAGGTAACTAGGACAGTGCATCTAAGCACAGTAATGTGGTTTGAATAATCTGGTCAACAGTGTAGTATTAGTAAAGCATGTTCAGCATGTAGCAGGCTTCATGCTCCAACTGCTGGTAACTGTTTTGTCAGTTTGTGTAGTACAGTGTATTCCTTTACCTTTGTTGTTTGTAGTGTTACATAACTTCTGGGGTTTAGACTGCTAGTCAAACAAAATAAAATAAGCTGTTCAGAGACTTTTACGACTAGTAACTTTGGCTGGCACAAGCTGGGGCTCTGTTTTCCTACCATCACAATTCCTGCAAAGCTTCAAATGCAGTTGTTAGGCAGTTTTCCTCAGGTGCATGTCTGTTTTTCTTGTACACTGGTGTATTTGGTGTATCCCTGCCATGAATCAATATACTTAGTCTGAGGTGGGATATTGCTGTAATGAGATGTAGTAGCATTCTGTATTTCTTTAGACTCAACCAGCCTTTTTAAATACCCAGATTTTTTTTTTTCACCACACCACCAGTTTTAACTCGAGCTTTTGGAACGCTAATGACATCACAGCAGTATCATCATGTTTAACTTTTTCAGACTTTGCAACGGTTCCTTCAGAACTATATAAAATTATATAAAACAAACTTGATCTTAAGCTGAAAAAACTTATTGGACTAGATTTCTAGGTTGAAGACGTTTCACCTCTCATCCAAGAGGCTTCGTCACTTCTGACTGACTGGTGTTGAACCGGAGATATTTATCCTCCTCGGTGGTGTTTCAGAATCTGCACAGACAACTTGGTCTTAAATTTCATTTTTAAAACCTGCAGTACTGTTGCCATTCAAGTGTTTTCACAGTAAAGTTTGTGATAACAGAAAACCTTAGTATCTTTACAGCACTTCAGGTTTTTCACAGTTGCATTAAAACTTAGTAGTTTGTTGCTGAGGTTTATGGCTGCTTCATATATTTATAGTCGGAGTGTCTGCTCCTTGGGTCAGAATACAGAATTGTAAGGACTTATAGAAAGAGCGAGGCAGCATCACTGCAGTTGAAAGTGGGGAAAAAAATACCAGACGTAGCATAATCTGTTGTGTGATTTACATCTGCCTTTTTACTCAGTAAACAGGCAGATGTTAGCAGCATGTCAAAAACTTTCACATATCCACTGACAGTACTCTTTAAGTCAGTTTAAGTTGTGTATGAATTGATTTTACTGTCTGTATTGTGGAAAACCTTTTTTTTTGTAAGGCTTCATAATACACAGATGGCATTAGTCTCAACAGGACAGTCTGCCTCCATCAGTACTGTAATTAAGCATTGTGGCAACTCTTAGTTATTGTTACTGTTGCTAGACCTGATATAGCGAACGATGATGGCTGTAATAATCAGCTGAGCCAATGCCACAATAAAAGAAAACAAAAACTTTAAAAATCTTTAGTTGTCTGCAGTCTGTCCAACAGCTGTCACCTTTTTTGTATGTGTATTTATACATATGCAAATTGCCAACTCCTCCTCTGGTGTCGGCCCATGCTATCTTCTATTCCAGAGATTGAAAAAGAAATGTTAGCACCTGACAGCCAAAGAGCTTTGTTTCTTGGCAGAACATAGAATTATTCAAATGAGTGCATTCAAAAGCAACACATTAGCTGGAATTAATTAGTCACTTGCATATTTTAGTATCAATTCCTAGGGAAATCAGTGAGATTATTGCTAAATGTCACTTGGAATAAAATGGAACAAGGATGGAAGGAATGAATTAACATTTTTACCTCTAGGGAGTTTGAAACCATTGAATCAAGTACTTGGGGTTATATATTTTTGATTATATATATACTGTATTTGCAATCTCCTGTTTTCTGCAAAAAAAATTCTGCATGCAGAGAACATGGGGCACTGCAGGGAATGAAGGCCGAAACGGCAATGAAGTGGCACTTGGTATGCATGATATGGGCTGCTAATACTGTATGTCCCATATGTAATTCAGAGGCACGGCAAATGAATCAGCTGAAAATGGGTGTTAGCGACAAGGGTTAATTATTGTTATTATCAATATGAACACTTTTCTACCTATGAATCTTTAGCCAATGAGTCTAAAAACAAGTACCTACCCATTACTCAATTGGACCGCCAGTTAGAACACTGAATGATTTTATCAAATTGCCTCAGAGTGTGGGAACACCTGCAGCTGCATAAACACATTGTGTCAGGTACTGTCAGCCTGCTGAGCATTTACTCATTTATTTTCTAAGTGATTATCTCCAATCTTTACACACAAACACATCACTATACCAATTAGGTAAGCTCACTTTGGTGTCTTTGCTTCTGAGACTTTTCAACAGATACAGATTTACATTTTTATCCCAAAAGTGCTTGCATTTTTACTTTTTCTATTTAGTTTATTTGCCAAGGGAGAAGGGAAGTGCCATGCAAATCAGTCTGAATATATCACTGTGTTTTATAAAATGACACATCTGTTGGTATTAATTGCTGTCTTGCATATTTTAATAGTTTATTTGGAGAAAAGTGCATGTGTGGAGCCCACAGAGTCACTGGAAATGTCAGATGTAATTGTGCCAGTTTTACTCCTCTGACTTTTCTCAGGAATGGGCGAATGAAATTCAGTTACACACACACACACACACACACACACACACACACACACACACACACACACACCACCCTTCTTTC